TATATATATATATATATATATATATATATATATATATATATATACATGCGCATATAAATATAAAAAGACAACACAATACATATATACAGTATATATTGTTTTTATATATATATATTACACAATAAAAACAATGTTGTGTTTTTGCAGGTGGAGAGAGGAATTCACCGTTTGCATCTTCCTCTTTCACTCTCAAGCATCACGTCTCTTATTTAAATCAGCTTCTCTGAAAAGCACATAAAACGAGAAGCTGAGAGATGAACGTTTCCTCTCACTGTTCACGTGTTTCACTCGATGCTGTTTTTTTAAAAAGGGAAATGAAATTGGAAAAACGATGTTTGTTAGACAGTGGATTATTTTTGTATCTTTGAGGTAATTTTGTGTTTTATTTATCCCTTTGTGTTTCTTTGTGTTAATTCTCATGGGCTTCCTTAAGGTCATCTTGTGTCCTTTTGGGTTTTTTGTGTCTGTTTGTTTCTTTGAGGTCATTTTGTGTCTCTTCCTGTTCGGTACGTGTCTCTTGGGGGGACATTTTGCAGGTCAAGATTAGACTCTGCATTTAAAACAATAGTCATGTTTTAAGACCTTTGACATTCAACAATAACTAAACTGAAAGAGACGATGGGGAGAAAAATGGGCCACTGCACACAATATCAGCACTCATGTAGGATCAACATCTGGTTATTATCTGAAATAAAAACCTTTTGAACTGGCAGAATAACAGAAAGGATTTCTAGCAGGTTTGATATTTTGTGTCTGAGCCACTTTTTCACACAAAACATGACTAACCTCACCTTCACTGGAGCCCTTACACCAAACCAATCGCTTTAAAAGCTGTTTTAGTTTGAACATTTCATCCACATCCCTGCTAACCAGTTGAAGTCGGACTAGCAGGTTTCAAACGGCTGCAGAAAGCAAACAGAGCCTGTTTATAGTGTAGGAAATCAGATTATATAGTTCTGACAATCTTTATATTAGTTACCAGCAGGAAGGAAGTGAATGTTTTCATTCCATCAAGAAGTCTATAGCGCATGTCTTCTTAAAGAATGATGGGTCAGATATTTAGTTTTTTAAGGAAATAAATGTAAAATAAAACCGAATTCACGAGTTCCATCTTAAATCTCTCAAATGGTGAAATGTTTAAGCTCTGAAAATGAACTAGAACGTTTGCTATAAGACATGTGAACATATGGTGCAGGCGGCCCAGCAGAAAAGACTCTCCAGAGCAGCCCAAGCACAGACACAACACACACTTACGTGCGCCTTGGTTCTGGAGATCCACGTCTCCAAAAGGAGCGCAAGACGCGACTGGTGGAACCTCCCGGTGGTCTTCACAGCGACGTAGATGTCCTCCAGCTTCAATTTCGGCTGGGTGACATGTGCTGCTGGCCCTTCAGCGGCGGGGTGTCCTCCGATCCCCCCGCTGCTGCTGTCGGTAGCCGGGTTCCGCGCGTCCCCCTTGGCCGGGGATGGAGCCTGCTGGATGGAGCGGTGAAGCGCGCCGGACGACGGATGGTGAGCCACGCTCAGTTTGGGAAGGCTGCTCGTGCGTAATTGAAAATCCACATAGATAATGATGGAGAAGGTGAAGATCAAGACGGGCAACTTCCGACGTATCGATCTCTTCTGCATGGTAGAAAAGAAATTATTTAGATTCCATAAAAATCATGTTGTTGGTCGCCTCCTGCTTCATTCTTCTTCTTGTTTCGCGACGGCTCCTCATCACCTCCATCACTTCCTCCTTTATAACTTAATCATCGCTGTTCCTCATTAATCAACTCTTTATTCTAATGGCCTGTTATCATCAGAATAATCTAATAATTGTAATCACTTTTTTTAGTATTCCTCCTGTTTTAAAGAGGCCGAAGCTGCATAACGAGAATGATTTCCTCTCATTTTCTGCGTAAAAGCCGCTGTCACTCGGATATATTTGACTTTGTCACAGTCTCTGCCCACCCAGTGTCACCAGTGTCAAGCCACGCGGAACCAAACGGTGGGACTTCCTGGCATGGATTTCAAAATAAACCACGACAGTGAGAATTTATGGCGTACTTCCGGTTATAATCTGCACCTTTATATGAGAAGTTAAATGAGTTCATGAAGCTAGAAGAAAAGAGTAGTCTAAATCTGAAGAAGCTATTTGTTGTTTTTCTTTTGCATCTCTACGAAGACTTGTTCTGTCTCATTGTCATGTTGTGTCTTTTTGTGGCCCCCTCTTGTGGGTCGTTTTGTATCTTTTTTGGTCCTTTTGTGCTTCCTTGAGGTCATCTTGTGTCCTTTTTTTTTTTTTTTTTCATGTCCTTCTCTTGTGATTTTGTGTCCCTTTGTGGTCTTTTTTTGTTTTTTGTTCTGGTCATTTTGCATCTCTTCCTGGTCGGTTCGTGTCTCTTCCGGTGACATTTTGCGGGTGATGGTCCAGGTTGGCCACTGACGCTATGGGCCCCTGGGCCTGCGCCTGTAGGCCCGTTCAGTTCGGTCCATCCATGGACACTGCAACACGGCTAGGAACTTTTAAAATGACAAGTACAGGGTTCTTTAATTGGAGATCATTAAAGAGAATGTTAATCTGTTCATAGTATCCTCAAAACATGGATGACTATTATGGAACATTTGCAGGCAGTAGGCGTCATGTCGGCAAACATCACTCTTCATCCGTTTTTCTAACAGTGGCCTTTTCATTTTGAAAGGAAACTATGTGTCCGTCATGTGGTGAAATAAATGATTCACTGTTACATTTAGTGCAAATGTCTCAAAAGTGTGCTGTACTAATCACAGATCTGCAAAGATAAACACTGCATGACCCCGTTGCTGCTGCAGCCGCTAACTCGCTATGATTGTTTGAATGTCTGCATATATCTAATCTGATCCCAACGCTTCAGACAAAATCTTTACCATCAAACGTAGTTGAAGCTATTTGGACACAATGCCGCTTCATCGATGTTTGCTCAAAGTAGAACTGAAGAAAAGCTCAGACGATGCTTTAGATGTCAATTCTCCGTCCGTGTTAACCCAGCTGGTTGACACCTTAAAGAGTTGCAGGTCTCTCTAAGCTGCTCCAATACTGTATCCATTGTTCGCCGTGCTTCCGTCTCTGGAGACCGTCACCAAAAGAGAGAAAGAGCTTGATACAATTAATTCACCTCAGACCCTCATCGCCACCTTTGTTTATTTGTCCTTTCTCAGCGTTCTCGCCTTACATCCATCCCTCCATCCCTCCCCTCCCCTGTCTAGATCTCTCTCTCTCTCCTTCCTCCACTGACCAGCTGCTTCCCTCCTCTTCTCCACCCTCTCCACTACTACCTGGCCCTGGGAGGACCAGCCCCCCCCCCCTCTGCCCCCGCCCATCCTGGTCCCGTGGGTAAACCAAAGACACCCGGGGCACACCCTGACAAGGAAAAAACCCAGGATCGCCTTACGGCCTAGCTGAAAAGGGCTCTTTCTAAAACAGTGAGTACATCACAGCGCCACTTTGAACAAAGAGGGCCAGAGGAGTCAAGGGACCAGACCCCCTTTCGGCTGCTTTTGTCTGTCCGCCTGCTCTGAGCTTTGTGTGAGACCGAGACTTGGACTGCACTCAAGAACTGGGATTGGACAAACATGACGGATACACAAGTGAGGAAGTCAAAAGATCAGGCTGCAGGAGGTTTTACTGCATTTTTAGCACTAATAAGCTAAAGTATAGGTAGCCAGGATGGAAATAAGCCTTTATGGCCCCGGTGAAGACTGAATTGATCTGATTCGTCTACATTAAAACTGGACAAAATGTGCATGAAAAGACAACTTTATTAGACTTTGAGATTTGTAGCGTTATGCTGACTTCGTTTTACTTGCTACAAATCATTTTGTAAAAGTGTTGTGGTGGATTTAAGGTGACGTAGAGCAGCTAATCCTCGGTCCCACTGACAAACTAAACCTCACAGAGGAAACCACTGAACTCCACAGCCAGGTATAGAGTGTGCGTGTGTGTGTGTGTGTGATATGGCTCGGTCAGAGCAAAGCTTAAGTACCTTTAAATCCCCCCTCTTAACCTTCAATCTCCTGCTGAACCGCTGCTGAAATTCAATTCTCAGAGCCGGGACACAGAGCGACATGAAGGCATCCGAGCCGACAGCAGACGACATGTAACTCATCAAACAGTCACAGGAAACGAGTCAGATTCTGTGAAATTCTCAACCTGTTCAGACACAGAACTTCAAAAAACAAGCTCAAATCAACACGTTAAGGTTTTTTGAAGTGTAAAGTAAAACGCTAACGTTGGACTATAAAGGAACTCCACCACGGTCACATGACTGCACGTTTCCACCACTAAGCCAAAGGAGGACAAGTGTTCTAGTGAAGGAAGTAAGAAGCTGACAGCTGGATCCTTCACTTGGAAAATCATCAAAACGTGACAACTTCATTGGGTGGAAATTTTTGTTATTTGTCCACTGTTATTGATCATAGAAGTTCTGCTTGAGATGTTCCATACACATCGCTTATTTGAATCCAGCTTTGAATCATAAAATGTGCACATTCAACAGTAAAATCAACACAGCCATTGATTCAAGTACACCATCTACATGTTACCGGGGTTCAGAGCAATACAAAAGGCAGAAATGCATCAACATGGACGGACAGCTGTTGTTTGGATATAATTGATTTAAAAATATGAATATATTCCTTGTGGCAGTGAGAATGTGTGCTGTAGGAAATGGTCAGCAGAGGGCGGTATAAACTCTCAGACTGTATTTAACTGCTCTCTACAAACAGCTGGCTTCATCTTTAGTTTGTGCAAACCTCTACTTGGCACTCAAGTGCATCCTATGCAACAACAAGAACACTGCTCATGAAAACATAACTTATAGATGTATTCAATATAATATACAATGCAGTATATATGTCAATGATTTTAAATAAAAAGTGTATTGCACCTTGTCCCTGTTGCTTGTAGTAGTTGCAGCACATTGCCACTAGGGGTCCACGTGACCACGTTCACAAATGGCATCCAGATCTGAGACACTGAACAATATTTCATGATTTTTACACACTGCATATCTTATCCGTTGTGTTCTGTCTGAGGTGAAGTTTTTAGTCCAACTTTCTCCGCTTCATGAGATGAAGTGTTCTCCCGTCCTCCCCTCTCACATTCCCTTTTAACATGTTCCACTAATAAAGTCAGTGTTGCTTCATAATTAAATACAAATGGCAAATGAATTAAAATAAGAACGGGTTTCAAATCAAATCAATTCTAAGTTTAGACCCAGATTTAAAAAAAAAAAAAGTTTAAAAAAAAATGCTTATAAAGTTTATAACAAAGGACACGGGTCACATGAAGCCTTTTCATGAGATATAATCTGTTCAAATTTTAAAAACTCAAATAAAACCCAAACAAATGTGTTTCTTTGCAATTTGGACGAACTGGTCCTTTAAAACCTCCCTCGCGCCTGTAAGACTGAAGCCGGGGTAAAGCTACCAAACGACGGGCAGGATGACACTGCGGAAGGGCTGTTCCTGTCGGCTCGTGACTCCCCCCCCCCCTTCACAACAAGTGAAGAGTCAGAAGAAGTCATCAACAACAGCGGAGTCAACAGCCGGGACCAGGAGAGTCCAGCCCGAGGGTCAGAGGAGACCATGGCCCAGGCGAACATCTCCGTGACGGAGAGCCAGTTCAGGTGTCCCGTCTGCCTGGACATCCTGAAGGACCCGGTGTCCACCCCCTGCGGACACACCTACTGCATGTTGTGCATCAACAACTACTGGGACCAGGCGGACTCAGCCCACTTCAGCTGCCCCCAGTGCCGCGAGACGTTCAGCCCGCGGCCGGTGCTGCGGAGGAACACGGTGCTCGCGGAGGTCGTCGGCAAGCTCAAGCTGAGCGACGCGCTCACGGCGCCGGAGCTCTACCTCGGGGGAGTCGGGGAGGTGCCGTGCGACTTCTGCCCGCCGGAGAGCGAGCTGCGGGCGGTCAAGTCGTGTCTGGTTTGCCTGGCGTCCTTCTGCGAGCTCCACGTCCTGCCGCACCGGGAGGTCGGCACGCTGCGGCGGCACAAGCTGGTGGCCGCGGTGGAGTCCCTGGCGGAGCGGCTGTGCGCGCAGCACCGCCTGGGTCTGGAGCCCGCGGGTGGGGTCGGCTCCGAGGCCGAGGCGGAGTGGAGCGGGGACTGCCTGCTGTGCGAGGCGGACCAGGAGGAGGTGCACAACGTGGACGCGCAGAGAGCCAGGAGACAGGTAGGAGACAGAGACACTTGTGGTTTCATCAGTTATTACACGTTTTTTTGAACATACTGTAGTTTGATTTGTGTCTATTTGCCTTCATGTTAAATCAGACTTTTGTCAGGAACTGATCATAACCTGGCGTTTTGTTTACAAGCTCTATAAAGTAGTTCACACGTGGTGGCAGTGTGTGTAGAGCAGAGTGAAGTCAAAGCTTCATGTGTTAAACCTGCATTCTCTCTAGTGTCCACCAGGGGGCGACTCCTCTGGTTGTATAGAAGTCTATGAGAAAATGACTCTACTTCTCTCTTGATTTATTACCTCAGTAAACATTGTAAACATGAGTTTATGGTCTCAATCTCTAGTTTCAAGTCTTCTTCAATACAGCATCATGTTCATTTAGGACTTTCAATACAAACCGTAATAACCACTTATAGAACTGGACGCAGCTTTCACCTGAAGGACACACACTACTTTAAGAGAAGGACGGTCCTCACAGATACCTGAATGTTCTGATCGTCTCATGTCCGTCAGCTTCAGCTCCAGGAGTCTCAGAGGAGGGTTCAAGGGAGGACGCGGAGCGGAGTGAGAGAGCTGGAGGAGTTTCAACAAAGCCTGGAGTCCCTGAAGGTGACACACACACACACACACACACACACACACACACACATTTAAGGCAAAGTTTTGAGTCCTAACCGTTACAATACCTGAAATATACTACTGTGGCTGCTCTTATCGAACAATTCAGCTACTGAAGACAACATGAAACAGTAAATATGCCTCTGTCCTTGTTTGGAGTGTCTTTACTCTTACAGTGTTTGTATAAACCAGGCAGCAACCTCCGGTTCTGCCGAGTGAAGCCGATGCTGAAGACTCTTAAAGCTGCATTCTCTCTAGTGTCCACCAGGGGGCGACTCCTCTGGTTGTATAGAAGTCTATGAGAAAATGACTCTACTTCTCTCTTGATTTATTACCTCAGTAAACATTGTAAACATGAGTTTATGGTCTCAATCTCTAGTTTCAAGTCTTCTTCAATACAGCATGATGTTCATTTAGTACATTATGGTCCATTTAGAGTCACACAGACCATAAAGCAGGGGATGCTTTAGGGCGGGGCTACACTGTGATTGACAGGTCTCTACCAGAGACGTATACGGCGTCTCTACGTCACTCCTCCTCAGTCCAGATATGGTCACTTCTCTTTATTGGCTGCAAGAAAAACTGCACGGTGAAGGCGTGATTATATTTTCAAAAGTTGACATGAAAGGGGGAAACACAATGTTTCAGCTTCCAGACTGTGTTTTAAAGGTGATGTTGTCAAATAATTGCAATCAGGCGATTATCATTACTAATATTACTGAGAGTATATCATAGGTTGAAGTAACAGTCACTGCAAAAAGGAGTATTTTGGATCGATGATTGTGACGCCAACACAAAGTAATTTACATGGTGAACTACATACAGGAGAGTAGTATGGTGTGTGTGTGTGTGTGCTACGTAAAGCCCGTGAGATAAAGGGCTATAAATAGACTTGACATTTAAACAACACACACACTCGCATCTTCCCTTGTAACATCAGGCTCACACACTCGCCTCTCTCTATCTCTCTCTCTCTCTCTCTCTCTCTCTCTCTCTCTCTCACACACACACACACACTGTTGTATCAGTTTCCACTGCAAAGATAATTTAAGTTCCAGTTTCTGCTCCTTCAGTCTTCCAGGAAAGCCTTTTTCTCCTCCCTTCCCTCAGCACCGTCGCCATCAGCTCTCGGCTGCTTCCGTCTTCCTGGAAAACCACTTAATTAGCCAAAGACTAAAACATCAGACTCTCACCAGACAATGGTTTGGTATCTTGTCCTCTGCTCAGATGGTGGAGGCTTATTCTCAGACCACAGCTACATTTGACTTTTATGTTTTATGTTTATTGCCAACGTTTGGTGAAAAAAATATTGTCGTATTATCTTGAAAAAAGCCTTAATGTAATGTTTTAGTTTTACTCATGAACTCACTTGTGTAATTATGTGAAAGAAACACATAAGGACACACAGTTTTGTTTTCCGCTAATGGGGATTGTAACTGCAATGATGCTCTTTGGTAACTGGGGATGGCTAATTGATAGCTACCTGATAGCTACCTGATAGCTTCCTGATAACTACCTGATAGCTTCCTGATAACTACCTGATAGCTTCCTGATAACTACCTGATAGCTACCTGATAGCTTCCTGATAGCTTCCTGATAACTACCTGATAGCTAACTGATAGCTAACTGATAACTATCTGATAGCTAACTGATAGCTTCCTGATAACTAACTGATAGCTAACTGATAACTACCTGATAGCTAACTGATAGCTTCCTGATAGCTTCCTGATAACTACCTGATAGCTACCTGATAGCTACCTGATAGCTACCTGATAGCTTCCTGATAGCTTCCTGATAGCTACCTGATAGCTTCCTGATAGCTTCCTGATAGCTAACTGATAGCTTCCTGATAACTACCTGATAGCTTCCTGATAACTACCTGATAGCTAACTGATAGCTTCCTGATAGCTTCCTGATAGCTACCTGATAACTACCTGATAGCTTCCTGATAACTACCTGATAGCTAACTGATAGCTTCCTGATAACTACCTGATAGCTAACTCATAGCTTCCTGATAACTACCTGATAGCTTCCTGATAGCTAACTGATAGCTACCGTGGAAGATTGAAGCACTATCATCTTCTTGTTTTGGTTGTGTAATGATAGACGCACTTCCTTCGTGCCATAAGCTAAGCCTTCATCTTCCTGTAAGATCGTTGTGCAATCAACCTTTACTTTATAATGATTAAAGCAAACAACTTTCTATTGCCACTTTAAAGAGTCACAGTTTCTTAGAAAGTGTCCGTGTTACTTTGTTCTGACGACTTCTGTTTTCTGCTGTCCGGGTGTTTCAGGTGTCGGCGTCGACTGTCTTGGAGGACAGTGAAGCTCTGTTTGCAGACATGGCTCTCCGTCTGGAGAAAACCAAGGCAGAGGTGAGGAGTGACAGTAGTAGTACCAGCAGTATTCAGATGAGTAGCTGAAGTAGCCTTGGAAGCAGTGGAAGTTAAAATAGTACCAAAATAGTCCTGCTTTTACGTCTTTGTTAAAATGACTGGATTGAGTTGCAGTTCGGTCCAATAGACTACACAGAAGGCTCTATTTACAGGTGCATACTGCACCATTGTGCTGCACTAAATTGGGACGTGCACTCGTGTGCCGTAGGTTCGAGCGCGGCTGGAGGCGAAGGAGCGAGCGGTGGTCGGGAGGGCCGAACGAGACATAGAGGTGCTGGAGAAAGACCTGGAGGAGCTGAGGAGGAGGGACGAGGAGATCAGCCGGCTCCTGCAAACGGAGGACAACGCCCATTTCTTACAGGTGAGGGAGGAGTCAGAGGTCAGAGGTCAGGGGATCAAATAGATGGGAGAAGGAGGGGAAATTAATCTGCAAACCGATGAAGCTACGGTGAACCAAGCTAGCAAGCTAGGGTGACGTCACAGAGACTGTGTGCATATTTCATACAGTTTATGTTCGGGGCCGCTTGTCTCGTTCCAGATGTCTCCGAGTTGTCCGTCAAAGAGACATTTCCCGTCCAAACTTCACAGATGGTTTAATTTAAATAACAGATTGAATCACACAAAGTGAAGGATGCTCGCTTCCGGATCCTTCTTCTTCCACCGCTGCACATTAGCAATTCTCGCATTTGATATTCACCCCATTCCATCTAATGCATCCCGGAGGCCAGAAGAAGTCACGAAAGTGCACTCTTCTCAGAGAGATTACCCCGTAGAGGAAGGAGGAAGAATGCATGAGAGGAGAGCATGAATCAGCAGTGACCGGTTGGACAAAGACGGCACCTATTTTCAAATTCAATTGTACAAGGAATTATGGAGGGAGGAAGGGAAGGAGGGAGGGAGGGCGAGCTGTGGATGCTGTACACTAGGTGAGGTTTTCCACTCTCTCTCTCTCTCTCTCTGTACCGACCCAGGCGGCTCCTCTGCTATGCGTCCCTCTCACCGCCGGTCGGCACTCCCGAGCCCTCAGCCTGCCCACGGAGGGGTTCGGCGGCGCCAGGAGAGCCCTGTGCCACCTCCGCAGCCGCATGGAGGAGGTCTGCAGGGAGGAGGTGGACAAGATCAGCCGCGCAGGTACAGCAGAACACAAATAAAATATACTAAATACACATGCAGACACTTTGCCGTTTTTTAAAAAGTTTTAGCATATACCATAAATACGCCGTAGATTTAAGGGGCTGTGTGTGTGTGTGTGTGTGTGCGTGCGTGCGTGCGTGCGTGCGTGCGTGCGTGCTTCTTCCAGTCAATGAAAACTACGTGTCCGGTGGAGAGTGTGCAAAAGGTAAGCATCAGAAACGTGATACACACACACACACACACACACCCCCTCTGTGACAGTGTCAGGTCTGAGGTGACCCGGTTCTACTCGGCTGAAGGTTCTGACATGACATTTAACACTGCGAGGGACAGTGGACGTGTGAATTATTCACGACTTTACTTTAATTGGAAGCAATGAAACTCAGTCCAACTATTTAAAGGGACAGTTTGGATGTTTGGTTGTGTGAGGTACTTATCCTCAGTGTAAAGTAATGTACTGCTGTGGACGTATTTTAGACTCCTAAGAGAATCGGTATCAGTTTAAGTGAACGCTATATTTAGAATATTTTCTCTGCTTTACCTTGCTGTCAGACAGACCTCTCTGACGGGGAACTGAAGATGTTATCTGCGCTTTCTCTAAAGCCACCAGACTCAATTGTCATTTTACTTTGAAGAACACGAGAATTGCCGATAACGAACTAGCCGATCGAGGCAGCGGCAGACCCACATGGGAGAGGTTTGCCTGCCGGAAATCTCCTTTCAGTTTAGGCAACAAACCTGCTTTGTTCGGTTTAAGACGAGATTATGGTTCGGGTTGAAATAAATCCTTTTCTGGCAGAAAGTGCTGAGGGCAAACTGCAACCCTAGTGCAGCAACTCCCATGTTGTGCAAGGTAAAATGACTGTTTTTGTCAATGGAGCCTGTGGCTTCAAAGAGAGATTAGATAACGGCTTCAGCTCCCCGTCAGAAAGGGTCTGACAGCAAGAACATTACTTTGCTCCCGTGCTGGTTCTCCGGTCTGTCTCTATAAACTCATCTACTGTAGTAGAACCCTGACTGTGGAGGAGAACCTCATACACACACACTTTAAAACATCCACTATCAGAAGTGTTTCAGTGTCAATGAAACTGTCCACAGCTACGTTTGTGGAGTTTCCACACTAACTGGGACATTGATTTTTGTTTTGTTATACTTGGTATTGTTTAGTTTTTTTTTTTTTAAGAATATATGAAAAAAACATTGATATTTGTATTGGGGAGGTGGCAGTAATGTCAGTGCGGAGAACTCCAAACCGCCCCAAATACAACCAAGACTATCAGCAGGGCAGCAAGTCACATGGGGTAAGTGGAAAAATGTAGCATTTTATTTTTATTTTACATACAAGCAGCTGAGTTTGGCTTTGTTAGCATCCCAACTAACCAGCAGGCTAATTGAGCAAATCTATCAACTCTAAAGGAATAGTTTGGCACTTTTGGTAAACAAGCTTATTCAAAAGAGTTAATAAGCGTATTTTCCAAAATGAAGAACGACTCCTTTAATAATAAAGCCATTATGTGACGTGTGCTACCAAAGCTACTCGCGTAAGAGATTCTACATGTAGTGGCTTTATTGTTTGGTGCTAATGCTACATGCTAGGTAAGGCTTGTTTGTTAACAAGGTGTCAGGCTTACTAATCCGTTATTGGACTTATGGAATCTTCATTTCCTTTGTTTCTCTCTGTGTGGGTTCTCTCTATTTTTCAAACTTTCCGTCTCACTAACGCTCTACTTTTTTCAATTATTTTGTCTTTTGTTCCTGTCTCTCCTCCTTTGTCACCCTCTCACTCCTAATTAAAGTCATGTTATTCCATTCCACAAGTGTTAAATACAACTTCCTCTGTCCTCCTTCCCTCTCGTGTCTCCTATCAGCAGTGCCCGTGTCGTTCCCTCTGTCCTCGTTGTCTCTGCAGCCGGCTGATCAGAGGATGAGAGCGGCTTTCCTCAGGTGTAAGTAACCATGTCTGTCCTCCATCCCATCCGCTTCTCAAGCTCTCCACCTCTTCATCAGACGTCTTTCCTTCCTCTGTTCATCGTTTCTCTTCTCTTCCCCCGGTGCACCCATCCAGTGTGACCGTCCTGCATGTCATTCCCCATCTGTCTCTCTTTCTGTCTTTGACACTCTGTCCTCCCCTCTTTTCCATCCTTTTCTCTTCTCTCCGTGCGTAGAGGTTACAACATAATGTCCTGTGGAGAAATCTGAGAGCCCAGTGTGGATCCTCATCAATGATGGATGGCAGTCGTACTGTATTTATGACAGCCGGCCCCTTGTCCCGACAGAAACAAGCCAGCAGACAGGATGACCTTGTCAGGCGTTAATAATGAACTTGTTCAGAGAAGGATTAAGGTTATGTGTGTCATTTGTAACAACCATGGATGGATTACTGAACAGGCCTACCTGGCACAGGCCCAGGGGCCCAAAGTTTCAGGGGCCCTGACACTCAAATGGTGCATCCCAAGTCTTCCTTTCGTCCCTCCCACCGGGGATGCAGAGACACGAGGAAAAGACACAAGTGAAGGAAACATGGATTCAATTTAAGAGACTTGGGACGCACTCAAAGAGACAAATACCAGCCAGGAAGAGACTCAAAATGACCACAAAGAAACACAAAACGACGACAAAGAGATTCAAAACGGCTGCAAAGAGACTCAAAATGACTTCAAAAAGCTGCAAAATGTCCACAAAATGACACAAGACAACAACACAAAAAGGCTAAACAAACGCCTAGGACAGGTGGTGGGGCCTTTTGCATGTCGGTGCCCAGGGGCCCATTGTCTCATAATCCACCCATGGTGCCATCAATCATGACGATTACTCGTTCCCAAAGCCCAGAGCTCTAGACATCCAATTCCAACAATTACAAAAACATAAAAAAGCAGCTAATTTAAAAAAAAAAAAATTGTCGACTAAGTTTTGGTTGATCAGTTTATTGCTTCATCATCATTTCAGTAACACCAGATTGTTGTCGGACAAATGACCAGAGAGAGTATCCCTCTGTCTGAGCAGCTGCGTCTTTACATTTCGGGGGTTGTGACACTGGTTACGATCTATTTCAGCAGATCGAAGTGAGGATTTTGGTTGCAGATAATAGTTTTTTCGTTATGCAACTGCAAAAATCCCTGCATGGCTTCTTTTCCAATCCGGCTGAACAACAACGTCCGTCTCTCTTGCTGCAGAATGTTGTTTTTTAAATTGCTGCCTCTTTTGTCTTCCTCTCCTCCAGGTTCATGTCGTCTCTCCTTGGACCCTGATACGGCCCACCCCACTCTGGTTCTCCTGGAGGGGCCCCAGGGTGCCCACTGTGGCGAGGAGCCCCAATCCTACCCCCCAGTCCAACAGCGCTTCGATTCGGTGGCCCAGGTCCTGTGCAGGGAGGGCCAGTTCGGCGGCGCCAGCTACTGGGAGGTGGAGTGGAGGGGCGGCGGCTGGGTCGACATCGGCGTCACCTACAGAGGCATCGGACGCAAAGGCGGCGGGAAACCCTGCCTGCTGGGGCGCAACGACAACTCCTGGCGGCTAAGGTGCACGCACGCGGGATACGCCGCCTGGCACGACAACCGCAAGACCACGGTGGCCGCGCCGCCTTGCCCCAGAATCGCCGTGTTCCTGGAGCGCCAGAAAGGAGCGCTGTCCTTCTACAGCGTGTCGGACAGCGTGGTGCTCCTGCACACCTTCCGCTGCCCGTTCTCTCAGCCGCTGTACCCGGCCTTCCGCCTGGACCTGGACTCCACGCTGCTCATCTGCCCCCATGAAGGAGGCAATGGGAACCCGACTTGACCTCACCCAGGACCCCTTTACTGTACCTACTGCAGGAAAAGGGCTGTTTTAATATAAACACGGAAAACAATACTACCGAAGAGGTTTCTGGTGAAGAAGCAACGACATCAGGATGAAGCATCACAATAAGGAATCAAACCGTCTTTTTGCATAATCTCTCCTTTTTAGGGTTTTAAATATTTCCTTTCAGTTGTAAAACACTTTTTTTTTTTTTTTTTTTTAGAATTTTTAGAAATAGAGTCGTTTGAATTTTCACAAAATGCTTTTCTTTGTGACTTCAGTGGTAGGAAAAGCACAAGTGTTACTCATGGAGTTGCTTGTTATAATGCGGCTCAGCGGTGCACTAAAGTGTGTTCCTGAAAACGTTTAAAATTAGAAATAGGCAACGCAGTAACAGAATATTGATTCGTATTTGATCAGCGCTGCTTAATTTGCATAAAGTCAAGTCACGATTCTGCAAATTCAGATTCAGCGAATGGTCAGTCACCTCGCCGAGGCCGTACCTCATGTCTAAACGTAATTTTCCGCTATTATTTATTTTATTATTTACACTTGTGCTTTTCTTACTGTGACATGTCAAAGTGTTGATGGGGGGGTTAGGAGGCCTGTTACACACAGATGGATAGAAACATCAAAAAACACGCTTTTTTTTTTATGGTTTAAAATCCGAAAAATACAAAATATTCTATTTGCCAATCAACAAGTATGTGGGGGATCTGAATCAACGATACAAAGACACTGAAAGGTATTCAGCCCTTGTTTTATTTTTTGTACAAAGTTTCTTTTTGTACATTGAACAATTTTTTTTATTGAGCTCCCTAAACTGAATATTTAGTACCTGCGACTACTTGAATATGGACAGCAGTAGATTTTAGATTTCTGTGTGACCAGGGAGACCTCACTCACTCTTTCATGGTGGAAATGTTACCTGCAAAAGATTTAGACCGTTTAAAGGCCAAGTTGTAGCGGATGTTTGTTTATCGAGGTCATTTTTCTTTCCATGTAGCTGAGTTTTTGTGGTCTTTAGAGTAGAACACCATGAATTTAAGGAGACGTTTAAGATTTGGGAAATATGCTGACTTGCTTTCTTGCCGAGAAGACTGATACGACTTTACTGTCTGCACCGAACGTAACAAACTCCACCTTCCTCGGATCATAGAAACGAGATATAGCGTGTCAGCCAGAGAGCTTTAGAGGCGCTGGTACCCGGATTTTGTTACCTTTGGACAGAGCTAGGCCAGTTTTTTCAGTCTTTGTGCTAAGCTAAGCTAACCAGCTGCCGGCGGGCGGTTTAGTCTTTACTGTAAATTATAATTAGTCCGGCTTTGTTGTCCTCACGCCTACCAGTTATTTATATTTCTTTGTAAGTTCATTGTGTGCACATACTCGACCAATGAAGGCGATTCTGTTTCTTCTCATCCAACTCTTGGCAAGAACGTGAAGCGTTCTTCCCAAACAGACGTTCACATCGCAGGTTAAAATGTCTGTTTTGTGATTTTTTTAAAATTGTTTTTCCAAGGACTATCATATCTGTGTCAGTATGTAATTAACGATCACTAACAATATATGATTACATATTTGAAATGCACATCGTTGGTTCTCCACTATGCTAATGCTGCGTCAGGAAAACCGCACAATCTGGAGACTTTGCATGCTTTTCAAATCCGATCCCATTATTGTCTCATATCTAAGCACGTCCAGTCTTATTATAACGTCATATTATCCACTCAGTCAAGGTTAGATTTGAAGGAATGTGACTTGCTGCAGCTTTAAGACTGTTCGCATGGATTAGAGAACGTCAAGACGGGAAAACGTACATCAGAAGAACTTCAACATTTAACTGTCTCCTCTTTGATCGTAGCATTTTGAAGGAACGAGGAGCCTCTTCCATCTGAACGGACGCCTTTCTGTAGCCACAGGTTTTGTTTTGATTATGGGATGGTGTTTGCTTTGCCTGATTGTAGTTTGTGAGTGGCGCTGATCCCAACGTTTGACGCCTTTAGACCAAAGGTCTAACTAAGGAACAACTATTTAAATTCCAGAGACAGAACCACACGGGTGCATTGAATCTAATTATTAACTTTGTGAAACTGTTTTTCGAGGGAACGTTCAAGGATCATTTGTTGTCATTATGCAACATAGGGAGGCACAACTAAATTCAGTTGTAACACAACAAACACATGACGAACAAATCAAAAACAGTTGTAAATTCCTGTAGTACATTTATTAAATTTGCATCATAAGGAATAAAACAGCAGAAACAAAAACAATCCTCTGGTCTGATAATGTGGTCAATATCTTCACACTAAAAACTCAACATGGAAAACATTTCTGAATTTTCCAGCCTGATCTAATCTGGCAGGTCCATCTAAAGTAAGAACAAACCATGAAGTGCTTTATTCCACAACCTGTAGCGCTTTAACATGAACTGCTGCTCTGTAAAGCTTTCTCTTGTAGCATTTTCTTCATCTGTGCTTCAGTTCCTTAAAGTGAGTGTAAAGTATGTTGTAATTGTCTGAGTGTTGTCTTTTCCAAGATGCGTTCGCTCCATCTTGGCTCGCAATAAACCGATCCAAGGGGGGGTCTGAGTCTTCTTTGTATTGTGACGTATTGGCTCTAAAAACAACAACATGGTGACAGCCGTAATCCAAGATGGTTACGGCGAAATTGCTGAACTCACGGCTTCAAAAACGTCAGCCAACAAACCAATGAGAGACGTCACGATGACTATTTCCACGTCTTACATACAGTCCATGGTTTTCACTACGGACAAAAACTTCTTTGTTACGCACTAAATTGAAGTAATGGCGTGTATCGAATGAATGTATGTGTGTATGCACGGTTCCACGTACTGTCTCATGTGGGAGAGGCCTTCGGGTAAAGTGAAAACGGGATGTTTGGTTTGTTAGTGTTTGTCCTTTTCACTATCTCACATTTTTGAGAAACTGAGATAAATCATGTCTGCCTAACGATTATTAATTAATTAATTATCAAGAGATACTCATAATAATGACTTAAAATAATTGTCATCATAGTGCATTAATGGTCTTCCATACTAAGCTGCCTCGTTTGCCTCAGAGTTGTTTTTTTGTTGTTTTCCCGGTGGTGCCTTTGAGTCTCAACTGAGGGATCACACTTCGGGCCTTCAGGTAGTCTCGTCACGTGACCACAGTGAAGATAAACAGATGTCACATGACTCGCGGTTTATTTTCTTGCAACATGGTGGCCGGGTCGCTGCAGCTGTCCGTCTCTCTGCTGGTCCTCCTCAGCCGGGTTTTAGGCTTCCCTCTCGGCCAAGAAGAACCCAAACTCACCTGCGGATACGAGGTGAGCTGCGCGCACGTGCCCGTCGCGTTGTGGGTTTGTTTCAGATGTTTAACGACAGTTTTTAGCTAAAAAGCTCAAGAAGTTTTGTTTCTGTCATCCTTGTTTTTTTGTTCTGTCAGTTTGTTTGAGGAAATTATTTTACATTAATAAACTATAAACTGAAAGATTATTAATTTATCCTTTTTTCTTAATATTTATCTTCGTACTGTGTGCCTTCCCTTGCGAGAGTAGTAGTCTATTGCTCTGTAGATGTGTCCTTAGTGTGTATTTGTATTTGTGTGTGTGTGTGTGTGTGTGTGCGCGCGCGTGTGCGTGCGTGCAGTCATGTCATGCCACCAAGCCCAGCATGCTGAATGTCCACCTGGTCCCTCACACACACGACGACGTCGGTTGGCTGAAGACTGTGGACCAGTACTACTATGGAGGTCAGTCAGACACACACACACACACACACACACACACACTTCACAGGAATAAGCAACGTTATAAAAACAGGTTGTGAAACCGTTAATGGTGAAAGTGTTTTATTAAGGCGTTCATGTGACCGATCCCCTCGCTTACTTCCTGTCACATGTTTCCTCTGTTGCCTTCACGAGCAAACACTGGAATAAGAGTTCATAGTTTTAGTGCGATCAGCTCGTTTGTTTCAGCATCACGTCTTTTTACTTTATAGCGAGAGCGGTCACGTGTTCTGCAGGTGATCGTGTGTGTGTGATCGTGTGTGTGTGTTTATGTCAGCAGAGATCATCTGCCTCTGATATGGATGGATAATGTGTGTGTGTGTGTGTGTGTGTGTGTGTAGACCGTAACGACATCCAGCATGCGGGGGTGCAGTATATTCTGGACTCCGTGGTGGATCAGCTGCTGAAGAACCCCGACAGGAGGTTTATCTACGTGGAGACGGCGTTCTTCTACCGCTGGTGGAAGCAGCAGAGCTCCAGCATGCAGCAGACGGTCAAACGGCTGGTTAATGAAGGTACATCAGCCGACACTGTACATTTACACTGAAAGGGTTTCAGAACCAGAACCAGAACCTAGATGACTCTCCCCCTCCCCCCTCCAGGCCGTCTGGAGTTTGTGAACGGCGGCTGGTGCATGAGTGACGAGGCCACCACCCACTACAGCGCCGTCATCGACCAGATGACCATGGGCCTGAGGTTCCTCAACGAGACGTTTGGGCCTTGTGGTCGCCCCCGCGTCGCCTGGCACATCGACCCCTTTGGCCACGCCCGGGAACACGCCTCCATGTTTGCTCAGGTAGTTCGTCTTATAGGAAACAATGCGGAAGTGTCCTAAACTTCCATTCTCTCTACTGACCAGTAGGGGGCGACTCCTCTGGTTGTATAAATCAAGAGAGAAGTAGTCATTTTCTCATAGACTTCTATACAACCAGAGGAGTCGCCCCCTGGTGGACAGTAGAGAAAATGCAGCTTTAACACATGAAGCATTGACTTCACTTTCAAACAAACAAGATTTTACATTTTAATTACTGAGGTGCTTCAGACAAAGGTTAGCTGCGTCCTCCAGTTAAACGTTCTCCTCTGAGCTTTTCCACTAAATGTTTCCTGCGTGTTTTTCTCAGATGGGGTACGACGGCTTCTTCTTTGGTCGTCTGGACTACCAGGACCGGACTCGCAGGCAGAGTGCTCGGGAGCAGGAGCTTCTGTGGAGGGCTTCTGACAGCCTGGAACCCCCCATGGCTGACCTCTTCACCGGTAAACAGAACTACCACGCGTGCACAAATGCTGCTGCACTTCTTCTTCACTTGAATTATTAAGTTTTTCTTTATTTTAAATATGTGTTTTTAAACATCCACGCTAGTGACAGAGGGATTACGTTTCAGCGTTGTCCGTCTTCTTCAATACAGCATGATGTTCATTTAGTGCATTATGGTCCATTTAGAGTCAAACAGACCATAAAGCAGGGGATGCTTTAGGGCGGGGCTACACGGTGATTGACGGCGTCTCTACGTCACTCCTCCTCAGTCCAGATATGGTCTGAAAAACTGCTGAACTCGAGGCTTCAAAACATCAGTGCACAAACCAATGAGAGACGTCACGACGTGCACTTCTTATACGTACAGTCTAAGGACCTCACCTCCGACCCATTCTCATGATATCGCGGTGGATGATCTAATCTTTATCTGTCATACCCCCCCCCCTTGGCAGGGATCCTTCCCAACGGGTACAACCCTCCCGAGGGCTTCTGCTGGGACCAGTCCTGTGACGATCCACCGATCAGAGACGACCCCGACCTGGAGGACTACAATGTCGACGATGTGGTGAGGCGCTTCCTCGCCATCGCCAACCATCAGGTAACACACACACACACCCCCACACCCCCTCATAGGTGAATGTGTGAAAGATATAATGACCCAAGACCCCCCCTCCCCCTCTCTCAGGCTAAGGTGTATAAGACCAACCACATCATCATGACCATGGGCTCAGACTTCCAGTACGAGAACGCCAACCTGTGGTACAAGAACCTGGACAAGCTGATCCGCTACGTCAACGCCCAGCAGGCCAACGGCGGCGGCCGAGTCAACGTGCTGTATTCCACCCCGTCCTGTTACCTGCAGGAGCTGCACAGAGCTAACCTCACCTGGTAGTGTGAACCTTTTTAAAAACGAGCGCTTCAACGGCGGCGAGTGTGTTTCTGCCGTGACTTGATTCTCCTTTTCTACGCAGGGCTTTGAAGACGGATGATTTCTTCCCCTACGCAGACAACGCTCACAACTACTGGACCGGCTACTTTACCAGCCGACCGGCGCTGAAGCGCTACGAGAGGATCAGCAACAGCAACCTGCAGGTAGCGTAAAGGTTCAACACTTTACTTTAATCGTGTGACACAGTGGATCCTCAGACAAAATCAACACAAATGTCTTTCCACCTGTTGATGACGTCCCAAAAGTCAACAGGATTCATCTTTGTGGATTCAAATGTGTGAACTAAATATTCTGTGTCGTTGTTTATTTACAGACTTGTAACCAGCTGGAGGTACTTGGCGGTCCGGTCTCCAGGAACGGACCCTTTGGAAAGGGCGACAGCGAGACCATGAGTGAGATTTAGTGTCTTCTTACTTCTTTCTGTAAACTTGTGCTTCATCTGGTGGTCACATTAACCCTCTGAACCCCAAAACCCGCCAGAACACTTGTCACAACTACACCGTACAGCCAGAAGCTGTAAAATAGTCTTTATCGTGATGGTTTCCTCTTTCCGACGGTCCTTGAACACATCATGTGTGACAAACGCTTCTGACAGAAAAAGCAACCGAAACGAAGCTTAAAATTGTGGTATTTCATCAACATTTTATTCTACACGTCTCATTTAAAATCTCGCCCCAAATGAACCGTTTGTTCTGAACAGATTCTGTAAAAAACATTAAATTCTGAGCTCGTCAGCGCAACTGTGAAGCCATGATTGACTCGTCTGAGACCAACAGTCATGTGACAACAAATCTGTGAAGCTTTAACTGAACTTCAGGCTGTTTGCACAGAGCGGAGAGGAGAGGCTGTAGAAATGTGAACAGCTTACTATTTATTGCACATAGAGCCGCTACTTCTTTACAATATTGGTAACATTTGTGGACACTTACCCAAATGTTGGTCGTACAGATTCCATCGTTTTTCTCTTTATGATTTATGTCACTATAACTGTTATTCTGCTCTAAAGTCATGTTCTAGTTCTCTCTACTTGTAGTCATGATGGTTCTGTTTCTATAGAGCAGCAGGACTTTTATATTACAGTGAAGATCAAGACTACGGAGAGAAAGATGTGACGGGGAAACAAAATGCACAGAAACTGCTTTGTGGTTCAGAGGGTTAATATCTAGTAAGAAGATATTAATAAACGAGACCGGTGACCAGGCGGAGGACGGACTGACGTACATGTTTTGTGTTCTGCGTCAGAGAAAGCCATGGCCGTGGCTCAGCACCACGACGCCGTTTCAGGCACGGAGAAGCAACACGTAGCCAACGACTACGCCAGGAGGCTAGCCAGCGGCTGGCAACACTGTCAGGTAGCTCGTCGCGTTGTTTGTTTTTTAGATATGATAGAGGACAAAACGCACACGTCCTCTCTGGGTTCTGACATTTCGTTCTGTGTCTCAGGTTCTGGTCAGTAACAGTCTGTCCGCTCTGAGCGGCTCGTCTGCAGAGAGAATCTACTGCGACAGCCTGAACATCAGCGTGTGTCCTCTCACCGAGTCCAGCAAGAAGGTGACGCTCAGACACACACGGAAGGATTCAAGCATCATCTGTGGTCATGATGCAACACGGGGAGCCACAGGGACATTCAGCTGTAGCTCATTTATATATCGGCTCATCGCAATCCGACACACACACACACACACACACACACACACACACACACAGATCCTATATTTCTGTCCTGAATCTTTGACGACAGGTTGGTAAATAAACCAAATTAAAAATAATAATATTTTGCGTAAATATGAACTATGTATAAAATATCTAAACATATTAGTCAGTATTGTTATTGAACTATGCTTGCTCTCTCTCTCTCTCAGTTCTCAGTCCATGTGTACAACCCTCTCGCTCGCCCCGTCACTTGGCCGGTCAGACTGCCGGTGAATGGATCATCATACGAAGTATCGGATGCTGAAGGCAGATCGGTGGACTGCCAGGTTAGTGTGTGTGTGTGTGTGTGTGTGTGTGTGTGGGTGTGGGGGTGGGTGTGCGCGTGTGTCGGCATCAAGTACGAGACTGTCCGCAACAAGCTCTGCAGTTGTTGGACACACGATGGAGACGGATGATGGCTGATCCAGCTTTTTATGGCATTTAATTGCCTTTTTATTCCTATTTTAAGAAAAACTACGGAAGCCCTGAGGAGCCAGTGAGGAACTCTGTTGATGCATTTTCTAAGTCTGATCTAAATAGTGTTTCTAAAGTGGTAATACACGGTTTAACCATGTTGTAGATGAGTGTACTTTATCTCAAAGTGTTATGAACTCTAATGACCTTTTCTAGCTATAACTCATCTGGTTTCTTTTAACACGGTTGCTGTATGTGAACATTAATAAGATGTCAACAAACAACAAGATCACCAGGAAGCAGTTCGATCGTATCTGAAAGTCCTCGTCCCGGTTTCTCTTCCAGGTGGTTCCGGTGTCGGCACAGACGGCGGCGGTGAGGAGAAACCGAGGCTTCGCCGTCAACGAGCTGGTGTTCCAGGTGCAGGCTCCTCCTCTGGGCTTCACCACCTACTCCGTGTCCCTGCTTCGGGACGGGCCTCCGCCGGCCTCCACGCAGCGCCGCGTGCCCACCGCCATCCAGAACCAGGTCAGACCGCGGCGCGCTCGCACGCTGGCTTTGTGCTGCATCGTGGGAAATAAGTGCTCCAACACGTTGTCGGAGACACGTTTAAAACAAAATGGATTTCACTGATTCACAGAATAGAGCTTTTATGTGTTGGGCGTTGATGAATTTCGTTGAAGGAGCGGCTGACTGAAAGGCTCATCCAGCGCTCTTTGAATTTAACAGTCTGAACCTGAAGCACATTGTTCTCACTGTGACTGTTTCCACTGCAGCGTACGAGCTCTAACCCTCTGGGGGTCATTCGTGTGTGTGTGTGTGTGTGTGTGTGTGTATATGTATATTTTATATATATGTATATTTTATATATATTTTATATATATGTATATTTTATATATATATGTATATTTTATATATATATTTTATATATATTTATTTTATATTGTGTGCTCCAGTTCCTACGAGTGACCTTTGACCCCAACACCGGCCTCTTGAGCAGCCTCACTAACCTGGAGACCAAACAGACCATAAAGCTGACGCAGAACTTCTACTGGCAAGTGTCGCTCTAGTTTCTCTCTTTCTCCAAATACATTTTTTGAAACATAAAAATCAAATGCAGCTCTTTTACTTTGACTTTTGCTTCTCTACCGTTTGTTGCATGTTGTTTGTTGCGTGTTGCGTGTTGCAGGTACAACGCCAGTGACGGCAACAACTCGAAGAGTGACCAGCCTTCGGGGGCGTACATCTTCAGACCCAACTCCTCCACACCGTTCATCATCAGCAAGACGGCCAAGACGGAGAGCGTTCAGGTCGAGACCGTTCACCACACATTATTATCATTATTAGGACGATGACTTCATCGTGCAGCTTTATTTTCAGGCTGTTTTGATTTTAATTCCAATAACTGGCACCAGTTTGTGTCAGAAAGATGATATTATATCTATCTCTATATATCCTCAATACTCTTTAGTAGTCTTTAGATTCACATGTCCATGTCAAAAAAAACTGCTTTAAAATATTTTATATTAATATTATCTTCCACTTTCCCCGAGTTAAATATTTTAACCAACATCGTCCTGATTATTAAAAAAAACACTCGAATGTCAGTTTAACACAAAATTGTAATTCTTTTCTGTTTACTAACTACTAAAGGTTGTTTTTCAGTCTGTTATGTTAATAATTCATTGAAAGAAATGTCTCAATCTGGTAGAAAATAGTAAAAAAGTAACATTTTGAAGCTGATTGAAAGGCTGATAAAATATAATTCATGATTCTGTGCATCATCACTTTAATGGGTTTCAATGGGGACGTCTGTGTCCTTAAGGGTCTGATTGTCTGTATTTTGGCTCCACAGTTTAATATTGAAAAACTCACACTCCTGCCAAAATGTGTGCCATATGCATTAACGCAGCCAGAATTATTTAAGAGATGAAGACAATGTCCCAGATGAGGTGACATTGCGTCCGTGTCCCCTGCAGACCCCCGTGCTGCAGGAGGTGAGGCAGTGGTTCGCTCCCTGGGTGTCTCAGGTGGTTCGTCTCCACCACGACAGCAGAGCTCTGGAGCTGGAGTGGACCGTCGGACCGCTGCCCATCAGGTGAGTGTGTGTTCGCCTCGTATACAGAGAAGTTTATGTGTGTGTGTGTGTGTGTGTGTGTATCCATCTATCTATCTATCTATCTTTTTATTCTCTCTCTCCCTCTACAGTGACGACCTGGGGAAGGAGGTGATCACTCGTCTGGACACGAGCATCAAAACCTCCGAGTATTTCTACACCGACTCAAACGGCAGAGAAGTGCTGCAGAGAAAGTGAGCTGTTTAAAAAAATCTTTAACTTTTAATAGAAGTTACTCGTGATTATTTAAAGGCAACATTAAGACGAGTTTACGTTCATGAATCTGTACGTCGTGTCGTCGTTTTGTCCTAAAGGAAAGACTTCCGGCCCACTTGGAAGCTCTGGCAGTCGGAGCCCATAGCTGGAAACTACTATCCCATCAACTCACGCGCCTTCATCAAGGTGTGTGATCAACACGGTGCTGTTAGAGGAACGACGAACAGACGGAGATCGGGTCCCAAATATAACGTGTTTGCTCTTCTCTTTGGATACTTTTCTAATGGAAGATTTTCTAAAATGTGGTTGAAATGAGTATTAAACCAGCAACCACAAAAACATGAAGAAACTAAACCTTCTTCACCCGTTCTTAAGTCTCCAACACAGGAGAGTTTCAGAATTATTGTCTTCTCTCCTTGCTTCACCTAAACATAACATAATGTTGAAGATGTTTTACATCCTTTTTGCTTCATGTGTGTCCTCACTCACTAAACATGTGTGTTTCAGGATGATGTGGACCAACTCACGGTGGTGACGGATCGCTCTCAGGGAGGAGGCAGCATCCAGAACGGCTCTCTGGAGATCATGGTGAGACACACGCACACACACACACACCCATAGTCCCTCCCTCTTATCTCCTCCCCCCTCAGCTCCACCGCCGGCTGCTGTACGACGACGTCCGCGGCGTCGCCGAGCCCCTCAACGAGACTTCCTCCGTCTTCCCCGAGGGGCTGGTGGTCCGAGGTCGCCTCCTGCTCTCCCTGGACCGCCCGCCCAGCGCGGCCGACGCGCACCGCCCCCTGGCCCAGCAGGTGGTGCTGCAGCCGACGCTGACGTTCACCGACGGAGATCTGCACCCGAACACTCGGCTGGAGGTGAGCGAGGGGGGAGCGCTGTGACCGTACGCAGGTCTAGTTATTTAATACGAGAGGTAAGAATGGAAAGAGTTGCATAGTATTGGAGAGGAGACTTCTCTGTGTGATACCTCCAAACAATCTAGATTAATAATTCACACTACAGGTAAGAGGACAATGTGTTTAATTTTGCGGTGAATTGTCCCTTTACGCTCGAGGTGCACCGACATGAGCTAGAAACAGGCTTATAAATTCTGCCTCAGACAGATTTTAAATGCTTTAAATCCAGCCGAGTGACTACAGGTCTTCCTCTGTGTGTAGTTCTCTGGGCTGCAGGCTGCGCTGCCCCCTGCTGTCCACCTGCTCACACTGACGCAGTGGGACGAGGACTCGGTGCTGCTGAGGCTGGAGCATCAGTTCCAGAGCGGGGAGAGCAAACTGAACTCGGGGCCGGTCACCGTCAACCTGCAGGTCAGCGACGCAGAGGACTCGATACCAAGAATCCTGTTTTCATTACACGTTTCTTGAGCTTAAAACAAAGATTGGACATTAAAAACTAAAGAGACGACTTAAAGCAAAACAAAGCTGCTTTATATTTTATCGTATTGTGCTGTACACTGTTTTACTTTAGTGTTTGCTGTTTAGTTGTACTGATAATATAGTGTAATAACCTGCCCAGAGGTCTAAAGACTGAAATTAGCTCTCTAACTGATGTGCACTGCCCCTGGTAAGTAAGTAAATAGATATCGATGGATAGTTAAAGTGAAGTGAAATGAAGCAGTAAAGTCATTGGATGTGTTGCTTCCCGTCTGTGTAGAAGCTGTTTTCCACTCTGGAGGTTTTGGGCGCGTCTGAACTGAACCTGTCGGCCAATCAGTGGAAAGACGAGATGACGCGTTTTCATTGGACGCCACAGACGGGTACGTGACGGTAGTTCCCATCGAGCTGCTTGTTCAGACAAGTTATGACATTTTACCTGTTTATTAACCTCTGAACCCCAAGACATTATCGGGTGTTTCTTTCCCTCTCTGGTCTTGAGAGAAGGAAAGGATTAAGAACCAGCGGCGTCTCTTTAACCTCCCGTTAGAGAACAGAAAGACACCGTAGGACAACAAAAAACGGGAGTTGACCAACAATGAACACCAGGCAGCCAAATGTTGGAAGCTGCTGCCAGTCACTGATGGAGCTGCTGGTTGAGTTCCATCAGTTTCATTCTACCAGGGCCGTAATCACGGCTCCGTTCCAGTCTCGATTGTAAAGACTGTTCCCTGCAGGGACCAATCGAGCAGGCGATGTAACATAATGAGTCACGAGTGCAGCGTTATGATTCGTAGCTTTAATAAACTGCGGGGTGTTCTAGTCGCTCAGCAGGACTCATTTTACAAAGAAGAGGTAGTTAATGTGCTGCAGTTTCCGCTTTGTTTTACTGCTGTTTTGTTAATTAGTCGAGTCTTAAATCATTTCCCGGATGACATCATGCCGCTGCGTCTCTCTCCCAGGTGAGAAGCCCCTGCTGAAGACGTTGGGAGACCCCTCGGCGTGGGAGGTGACCTTGAGGCCAATGGAGATCCGAACCTTCCTGCTCAGGGTCCTCCTCAGATAGCCAATCACAGCGATGCGACTTCAACCAATGAGCCGCCTCTGCACCGGTGAGAGAATCACAGGAAGTGAGCGGCTGCGTTCACACGGCTCCCATCTCCAGAAAGCTGTCGGTTAGTTTTCTCTTCAGCCGAGCAGAACGAGATGTTTGGATTGAAGTCTTCCTCGTGTTCCTTTGATGCAGTTTGTACCGAATTTGCCTTTTTCTTCTGCACAGCGATGATGCTAAATCTCTCCTGTGACTTTATCAGCACCAGCTCTTCAAATCACACGAATCCTTAAAGACTGCAATGAGTATGTGTGTGTGTGTGTGTGTGTGTGTATAGATTGAACATGATTTCATACTGATCAACAATTGATAATAAAGTCTATCGTTCGTACTTTGTGTCAATCTGCACTTTAATGTTCCAGCGACACTAAAACATCCTGATGCTCGTTCTCTGGACAGGAATCTATTTATATGAAGAGTTTTACTGCATGTGGATGCATCCTGAATGGTTTTTAATAAAGCTATGAATGAAGTTTAGTTTCTCATCTATTAACTCATCTTTGATTAGACGAAGTTCACCAAAAGAACACACTTAAACTGAGCGTGAGGACTTTATTGAAACGAGTCAAAATAACAAAAGATGTTACGAGCTCTGGCGTAAAACTGAGAAATGTTCATGTTGACCGGGTTCTGTTTAATCATCCGGGCTGCACTGAGCCGTTCAAACTCCAGAAATAAAATTATAAAAAGAGAAGTAACTCCGGAGATCACTCGGTTGTTTTCTGCTCTGTCGTCTGCTCCGGGTCGTGGGAGTAGCAGCATCTGTCTCCATGTGTGCACGTTCCCTGAAACAAAGAACATAATTCTCAGTGAGGCTGATGTTCTGTTTACAAAAGTACATTTCCGCGGCAAACCAGCAGCATGTTTCCACCCCGGACATGAAGACTGTTTTTATTTAACCGTCTCCAACATTTTCATAAAACGGATCCTCTGCATTTAATGATGAATGGTACTGATATTAAAGGTATGGTGGTGTATGAGGTGCTGCTCCACAGTCACTGTATTAGGCAGCAGCATATTGTATAATCCAAAAATAAATATCGTTTTAAGTGTACGCTGCTTCAGACAGCCGCTCTCTTCAAAGCCACCGGACTCCTGACAAGAAGACGGAGCTGCTCCTCTCCGGATCGGTTCGTTTGTTTATTGAGGAACTTTGAATCCACAGAAAGTACCGTCATATTGTTCCATTAAAGTCGGGTAGCATAGTTATTTCTATATCTAAATCTGCTCAAGACTTAAGAATTAAATTCAAACGACTCGTTGGATATCACCGCGACACATCGTCCATAGAGACTAACGTGTTTATAACTAGTTAATAACTTGTGACCCTGCAACATGAAATCTGGACTCATGGCGGCGGTTGTAAAACACCACAGTGATGAGATGCATTTATAAAAGTTGTTCATGAGCCTTTAACTGTGACTCACTTCACGGCCCCAGAACAACAATCATTTCCTTTGACCACAGTGAACGTCCTCCTGCACCGTACCGGGGAGGCAGAGGACGGGACTGAGGACGTCTGCATCACTCAGACCGTTTTATCTTCGATTGGATCGTTTCAGGACAAACTGTTCAGCGCTGTTCTTGGAACAGAAATGAGTCGGGTTGGTCTTTTCTACGAAGGTAAAAAACACACTTAAGTCGTTTTTTCCAGGAAAACGTCAGTTTGTTAAACAGGAAGTGGTGTGTGTGTGTGTGTGTGTGTGTGTGGGGAGAAGTAGAACTATGGGACATGCTAGGATCCTGTATGTCCTGTTCTCAGTCTAAAATAGATTTGATTTCCTCTGACCTGTTTGAACCTTTTACAGTGAATGTTTTTCAGCTCCGAGTCTGTGATCTGGTTCTTCCTCTTGTTCTGGCACTTCTTACTCTTGTCCTGCAGGTCGGTAACGATACCGCCGCTGGAGGGAAGGAAGGAAGGAAGGAAGGGGGGGGGAGAGAGCGAAAAGGGAAGAAAATTAAGATGAAGGTAGGAAACGAAGCAGTTTAAGGGTTTTATTCTCTACAATAATCAAGCTGGTGTAAAAATAAAACAAATATTCATTTGGTTTTATCTGTATTCAGTTTCCTCTATATTCAGCTTGACGTTTTTATGAGAAGTCAGTGCAAAGCGTTTCATCTCCAATCATCACGTCTCACTGGTGTGTGGAGGTTTGTGGTCGTTACCCGGCTTTGGCGCGAGCTTTGGGTCCCCAGAAGGCCTGCGGGTTCTCCTGGAACCGGGTCAGGTGGCGTTTACGGGACTGCGGGTTAGCGTCCTCCCTCACAGTGAAACAGGCTTCTGAGCTATACACACACACACACACACACACACACACACACACGTTAACTGTGTAAATAGACAGTTGTTTATTACTACGACAGGTTTGCATTGCTCTTCTACACAGTAGTATACAAACCACCTCAGTAGGTGTCATAGATTTGACTCTGATGGACTCACCCGGGCTCGGTGGAGAGGATCTTGAAGGCGGGACTAGTCTCTGACAGCTTCTCCCTCTTCACAGGATTGGTCTTCTCCTGTGTTGCATTGAGAGACCAGTTTTAAAAGAACTCCCTCCAATACTTTTAACTTGTTATCATCTGTAATATTTACCCAGCAGCGCATGATGTCCCAGATAACTGCAGGAGGAGCGTCCGTCTTGATGCCGTTCTTACAGGCGTGAGAGAGAGAAACTCTGTGACCAGCATGAAGGAGAGCCGACCTGCAGAGGGAGAGACGAGGAGGAAGAGGAGATGGAAGAGGACAGGTTAGATACAACAACTACACAAATACACACTCAGACGACACAACACAGGTGTGGACCACAGTCACATTTGAGTCCAAGTCAGAAGACTTGAAACTAGAGATTGAGACCATAAACTCATGTTTACAATGTTTACTGAGGTAATAAATCAAGAGAGAAGTAGAGTCATTTTCTCATAGACTTCTATACAACCAGAGGAGTCGCCCCCTGGTGGACACTAGAGAGAATGCAGGTTTAACACATGAAGCTTTGGCGTCACTCTGCAGAACTGGAGGTTGCCTCCTGCTCCAAGTTTAACCTCGACTGTGTGGTTTGTCTCAGACCTGTGGAGCTACACTGGACCACCACGAGGACCGGTGCCCTGGTCTGGTCCAATAGATCAGAGAATGGAGCTTCGTCTACTTATCTGATAACGTCTCCTCAGGTAACACTCTCAGCTCTATTAGCGCTTCTAGCAGCCGTCGCCACTAATATCTACCAACACCAATATATATAAAAGAATTGCACTACAGTTTCATGACGCTGTGTGTGTGTGTGTGTGCGCGTGCGTGCAGGCGTGTGTTTTACCTAAACTGCAGCAGGGGCGGAGTATTGCAGTGAATGGTGCTGCTCAGACTGTCCACAGTGTAATAAAGAGGCACGTCGTCTAACTCCTGAAACAAACGGGATGATGTGTTAGAAAAAGCACACGCAGCCTTTTTTAAATAATAGAAACTCTATTTTTCACCCACAGGACAAAACCAAAAGAGGTATAATGAGAGCGAAATGAATACCTCGGTCACCATGCTGAGCATGCCCTCGATGCGTTTGGACGTCCCGAATCGGGACGGGTTCCCCGACACGGCCGACAAAACCTTCTGGACGAATGCCACGTCGTGGATAGGCTCCGCCCAGATCGGACCGCCCAGCTACAGAAAGCACAGACAGACTTCAGCTGGCGTGTTGAGTGAGAATGTACCGATTACAAACAAGCAGAGTACAAAAGCATGACGCGCCAACAACAGAGTGAGAGAGTGTGTGTGAGACTGTGCGAGCGTGCGTCTCACCTGATGTCTCTGTCCACAGTGCTCACACTCTGGTCCAACAGGAGGTCCGGTGGCAGGAGAGTACTTCACACTGAAATCACATCAGAGTCTTCTTTACTACACACACGCACGCACACACGCTGTCGACAGGAAGCTGATACAAGAGATAACTGAAGGCCTGAGGCGCGGTGGTGCTTTGAGCGAAATGCTAAAGCTTGCTTCATACTAGGCCGTGGCATAAATAAAAAGGTGGCCACAGCTTCCCTTTAAACCGTGACCGGCGTCCACAGCCGAGCTGCATTCGGCTAAACTACATCTCTTCAGTCACACTTTGTGATTTAAACGGCCTGTTTGATGGTGACAAAATACAAGTTTAAGAAGAATTTAAAAAGCACTCGTGTTTTGATTTCGAAGGACAAATCTTGATATTTCACCGGAGCATCTGCAGACAGCGTTTCACCTCACATGAAATACAAAGAGCCGGCTCTACAGCGTGGGCCGTCTTACTGTTTTCCGTTGCTGGATCTTCTTCCCATTCGCTGGAGGTGAAAAGAGCCGCAGCCGACACAGTTGTAGACCAGAGCCTGTTTACTGCGACACAAGACAGGGAGTGTCATCAGAAACATGTCCGCACACTATTGGCAAGGCTAAATAGATCCTATTTACAGCTGACGTCACCAAAAATATCTTTGTAAAGTATGCTTTAGGGCGGGGCTTACTGTGATTGACAGGTCGCTGCCGCTGTCAAGAGGTCTATATTTTCATTCAGACTCACCAACATGGTGTGTGTGTGTGTGTGTGTACCTGGCTGAGTTCTTGACTGTGGCCTGTCCTGTGAAGATGCGTACAAACACCCTGATGTAGAAGTCGACGCTGACAGCCAGCAGAGGCTGGATGTAGCGCTGGTACACCCCCGCCCGCTGGTCCAAACTGTGGAGGATGATACGAAGAGCCTGAAGCAGAAACACACACACACTCTTTATTTCTTATGCAAAATGTCTGAGAACAGTCTGATCTTCTTGCTAAATGATTAGAAAAGTCAAATGTGAGGAATGCTGACATCATACTTCTTCTCCGCTGACTAGCATGAAAGTTCATGTCAACGTCAACTTTAGCAACGGAACCAAACATGCTAACCAAACTCAAGTCGGGAAGAAAGCAACATCATGTAATGTCATCCAATTAGCACGTGCTAGCATGTGACGCGACGTGGTGGTGTGTTCATAGCGTTTACGCAACATAATCAAAATACTCTCGACCATAAACTACCATTGGGGAAAGTTGGTTGACTGTTTTCTAGGACACGAGGCAGAAACCTTCACTGGAGGTTTCCGCCTGGTTGTCTCGTGTCCTTAAAGCTGCATTCTCTCTAGTGTCCACCAGGGGGCGACTCCTCTGGTTGTATAGAAGTCTATGAGAAAATGACTCTACTTCTCTCTTGATTTATTACCTCAGTAAACATTGTAAACATGAGTTTATGGTCTCAATCTCTAGTTTCAAGTCTTCTTCAATACAGCATGATGTTCATTTAGTACATTATGGTCCATTTAGAGTCACACAGACCATAAAGCAGGAGATGCTTTAGGGCGGGGCTTACTGTGATTGACAGGTTGATGCTGGCCTTCTTGCTGTTGGACTAGTAAGTAATATCTGCCTTTATACATCTTACACTTGCTTGATGTTTGAGCAAAGTTATCGACTTGCTATTTTTGATCATGTGTAAAGTAATCATAACAAATACACGTGAACAGTTCTATTTATGACAAGCGTGTACAAAATACCAGTTCTTGCATAATGTTGCTTTAAATGTTGCAGGGAGGAAAGAAACGAGAAGGAACAGCCACAAAGAGCTTCACCTCTGTGCCCGGATCGTAACGTTAATGATGCCAGGAGCTGCAAAATGTCATCAGCTTGTGAGTTCTCATCTTTATATCCTTGAGGGGGAAAGTACCCCAAGTAGAAGAAATACAAGTACACACACGTACGTACACACACACACTGTGTTTCTATCAGACCCACACACTGTACACACTTCACCAAAGATCAGGACATTATGAATGCAAATACGTGGACATGTCTGTGCATGTACTGTGTGTGTGTGTGTGTGTGTGTGTGTGTGTGTGTGTGTGTGCGTGTGTGCGCTCACCATCTCATGGCAGTATTTGGCTTTGATGGAGACTGAACCGTATTTGCTGTAGCAGGTCTCTCCACTGTTTCCTGCCATCACCGCCATGTCTGTACACGTTATACACAACAGACCTGAGAGAGAAACAGTCGCACTGTTATTTGGAGCAGGGTGATCAGCCGTTCACAGACCCGGAGACGGAGGAATGACACGCAGGAGAGAGTCGATTGCATTATTGACGGACCGAGCTACCCACCTCCCTCGCTGACTGCCTGCACAGCGGCATCCAAGAAGGAGGCGGGGCTCCCGTAGGGATCCAGATCGATGACATCATAGCGCTCCTTCTTCCCTCGCATCTCGTACATCAGCATACTGGAGGAAGAATAACAAAGGAGAGGGGTTAGTCAGATTCACATCCACGACCGCTGACAGATACATTAAATGCTAAGAAAGAAATGAGTTAAAGAATGGAGCAGAGAGGGATGGAGAAACATATGAGTTAAGGCTAAACTAAAAGAGCAGATTAGTTCAGAGAAGAAAGAGAAACAACTGAAGAAGATAGAAGAAGAGAGGCATGAAGACGAGCAAGCCAAGGAGACAAGCGAGGAGCCAGGATGACAGGAAAAGGGACAAAAGAGTTGATGAAAGAAGAAAAACAACGAGACATAAATGGAGATGAGAACAGGGAGATGAGTAGAACAAGAGGTCAGAGGCTGGAGAGGAATGAAGATAAGAGAAGAGGAACAAACAGAGAGCTAATCAGTGAGGCGGATGACGAGCGTTTCCCCGAATGTGGCGAGTCAGTCGTACCTGGCGTCCCTGCAGCTGGCGCGGAGCAGGTGGCCGACTCCGTTGTAGTCGACGTTCCTGCCGATCAGCGCCGCGGCTTTGGCGGAGAAGTCGTTGGCGGTGACGCTCTGCAGGCCCGGGACCTCCAGGGCGAAGCGCACCGAGCGCAAACCGGACGCTGACAGACCCTCCAGAACACGGAGGCCGTGCTGGAACGCAGAGTCGGGGGAAAAATCTTAAAGCTGCATCAACTGTTTGTTTTTTGGCCACTTGGGGGCAGCAAAAACAAGATGTAAACACAACATCGACATATTCCAACCTTAGAAAATTTGCAATATGGGGAACTTGTTGCATATTTACAGAGTGAAGTCAAAGCTTCACGTCTTGAAGCTGCATTCTCGCTAGTGTCCACCAGGGGGCGACTCCTCTGGTTGTATAGAAGTCTATGAGAAAATGACTACTTCTCTCTTGATTTATTACCTCAGTAAACATTGTAAACATGAGTTTATGGTCTCAATCTCTAGTTTCAAGTCTTCTTCAATACAGCATGATGTTCATTTAGTACATTATGGTCCATTTAGAGTCACACAGACCATAAAGCAGGGGATGCTTTAGGGCGTGGCTACATGGTGATTGACAGGTCTCTACCAGAGATGTATACGACGTCTCTACGTCACTCCTCCAGACACGGAGCAACATTAGCATTCGTTTAGAGATGCGTTTGTGTGCACCTGATAAACTCAAGTCCAATATCCACTCTCCTGTTAGCTCTGCTTTTCTTGTGGAGGTGATCGTGATTGATGATCCATCATATCATTACAGAAAACATTGATTATAGCAGCTATAAAGCTGCAGTAACACAGAATGTAAATTGTGAAGCTGTAGATATTTGTTCTACACGTAATCACTGGCCTCCGGATCTCTCCATCCACAGAGAGCTGGAATCCCCAACAATGGCTGAACGTCTTTATAACCGAACCAACAGATCTTCACTGACATCTAAAGACATTATTGCAACTTCATGAAATCCTTCAGTTTTAAAAAGCTGATCTAATTACCTCCCTCGACCACTTGAAGTGTGAAATTACCTCGTGCAACATTAACGTAAGTCATTTGATGGAAACCCGTATCTTAACTGCTTTGTGCCGGCATCACTGACTGTATATTTAGCAGAGGAAACCCCGGTGGGACTCAAACCACCAACCCTGACAGTATTAGCACCGTGCTCCGCGCCACAGAACCACCAGCCGCCAGAACGTTGGATTTGTCGAAGAAATCATATTTTCTGCCTGGCTTCACTTTCTTAAAAGATGGTTCGTGTTTACTATGAACCCTTCGTACCTCACATCGTTCCCCCACCAGCGCATTTACAGTCGGAGCCTCGGCTCCGTTCTTCTGCTCCGTCTGTACGTCGGCCTCGTCGGTCTCCTCCGTCAGAGAGACCACCACCCTCTCGCTCTCTCTCTCGCCCGGCACCACCAGCTTCACACCGCGCTGAGCCAGCACTTCTCTGGCAAACTCTGTGAGAACAGCACATCTGTGAAATATGAAAAGCATTTATTATATACAAAAGCATGCATCGTAACGAGGTCAATTAGTAACTATTCATGACATTTGCTCTCGTCCAAACTCGGTATTAATGTGTGGGTTCTTGTGTCTGAAGTTCAAAGCTTTACTGACACGCAGTGAGTGACCGGTCGACTGTGTGAAACACTAATGTCATCATCGGTCACATGACCTCAGCACACAGTATACACCTGTATACACCGAGCAGCTCTCTAAACACAAAGCTCTGGAGAAGTACGGATCAGGTTTGGGTTTAAATATCCGATACACTAAATCCATTACGAGACAGAAAGGATCCTATGAACTGTGTACCGAATCGTCTCCACTGTACTGAACTCATGTAAGGGGACTCATGTCTGTGGTGTGTCTTCAGGTAAAAGACACACCTTTTTTTAAAAAAAAAAGGTAAAAAATGAAATGCTTACGTCAAGTCTCTGTTAAACTCCTGGACTGGGTTGTAAAACACCTCGTTAGCACTGGGAAACAAGATGGCCGCCTTGCCCTCCTTGACCACCGTCTCCCCAGGTAACAGCCCTGCGGGACACGTCTCCTCGTCGGCCGCCGTGTCCGTGGGCGCCAGGCTCACATATTCGGCAGGAGGTTTGGCGGTGGGAACCTCTGGGGTCGTATTTAGGGGCTCCATGGATCTCAGTCCTCGGTGGGCAGCAGCAGCAGCAGCGGCGCTGCCTAAACTCCACCGAAACGTGTGTGTGGCTGAGCGGGTGCAGGACGGATGCAGAGGATGGGAGACGACGATGATGGGGAGCAGCCGAGCCGTCCGCACCAGCATCAAGGTACACCGCCTGGACGAAGACAAACACCCCTGAATGAGTTCCACTTAAATACAGAGCAGGTGCAACATTGGATTGCTGAAACTAATACTAATGTCAATATTTACCCAACACAGAAACATGTTTGATTATAGAATTATGACCCAGATATTGACAGTTATAAATAACTTAAGTATTTATTTGTGAAACTATTTTAAAAAGGAGATTTCATGTTTTTTAGACCTCACATAATAAAGGGTTCACAAATCTGAATCTGTGTTTTTGGCTTCTTTAGGATGTTCTAGTCCAGATTTGACCTGATCAGTGTTCAGACAGCATTAGAGCTTTAATAACACTAAATCAACAACATTAGTAAATAGTCAGCCCAGAGATTAAAATTAGACGAATCTGACCTGTAGCTTCAGTTCACTGTATTTAAATAAGATAGTAAAATAAATGAAAACTAACTCCATGAACCCAGGACTGCAATTATTCTTAAATGATTAGCTTGTTTGCTAGCTATGCTAACCCTAATAAACATAGTTTTACCTGTGGCGCCTCCCGTTTAAGGCGGACACTCGAGAGGTTTGTAATATAACAAGCGATACGTGTGACCGTGCCGGTAACCGTTTCCTCCCCGTAGATATCTCTCTCTGCTGCTGGTTAATCTCACGTTAGCACATGGAGGCAGCCATGTTTTTGAGCGTCTCTACGGAAGCCCGCGCGGCCAACAGAGAGAGAGGCGCGCTGCTCGTTCCTTCGCCCCCTACCGGCAGAGCCGTGTAATGTCAGGCAAACCGGTGTAACGTAAGGACACGAGAGGGAGAGAGAGAGCGCTGACTGGCCTACTTTTCTCCCCCGCAGTAAACATGTGAGGAGACTGGAAAACACATCAGTCCGCTTTCATGAATAATCAAATTTAATCTCACCGCGCCTGAAGTTGGTGATGCGTTCAGATGCAAAATTCTAAACATAGCCGATGGATTACACTCGAAATACCCAGACTCATGATGTGAGGATAAAAAAGAGGAAATAAGGTCAATGCAGGTCAGTGCTGAGCAGCTCGGACTATATGCAGTGAGGTTATAGGTCGTGTGCAGCTGTGTAACGACAATAAATAAAACAATATTCTGTTTTTTGGGCTTTATGTTAATCATCAAACAGGAGCTATAGGCTATATATTTGTTATTATCACTGCATGGCGCAAAACTGGATTATCCAGAACCCTGAGAGTTGCAGGTGCAGCCTATACTGTGTATTTACTAGTTTTTTAAATTAAAAATAATTTGGGAATATTAACCATGAACCCAAAATGAACTGATATAAGGAGTCCTGCTGTATTACAGCACCTATACTCTGTCTGGAAGAGAGCCAATGAGTTAAAACATCCCAGTTTATATGTTGCATCATCTTAAATTATACATATTTAATCACATTACCACACAGCAACCCTGGGGCCATGTAGTGTTTAAAACACCATGCACATTGTTCAGGGAGTGGAAGAAATGTGCAGGTTGATGTGATCTTAATGTGTGTATGTAGTCTTGTAGACTTTGGGGGGGACTCTGTATTTCTGAAGCCTGTGACTTTGGTACATTTACATGATGAGAATACTTCCTGTGTCTGTAATAAAGGCACAACCTTCACTGAAAAGCAACATACATCAAAGTATTTCAGTCATCCACCATCACGCTGTTGTATTTGGTACTTTTGCACACATTTCACATTAAATAGAGCGACTGTGGGAGAAAGGAAAGGAGGGGGAAAAACAAAAACTGCCTCAACTGTGTGTGCATGCGCACGCGAGCCTGAACATCTGGATGGGGGCGCTGTGACAATAAATGCCCAGAGAGCGTGGCGCTATACATCTGACACAGGAGAATTATAGAGTTAATAGTATTTGGCATGACGGGGGGGAGAGAGAGAGAGAGCGGGGGCGCGCAGTACCGTGCCCGAATGAATGCAGTCTCATCCTGTTCAGCATTCTGTGAGCGCAGCACCTGGAAGGCCCCCGAGGGCTCACCTGTCCGGAGTCTAGACGCGCGCGCAGCTATCACGGACACAAGTTAAAGACAGCGGAATCGCCGGTGAGTGTAGTGACAGAGTGTGTGTGTGTGTGTGTG